GCACTGCACAGTCCCAGTGTCCGTCATCTGCTGGGGCGAGCCGCCCTTGAATTCGAAAGACGAAGGCGTGAGAAAAGGGAAACGCCTCAGAGCGCCAGCGGGCACTCCTGTCGGCTCGCTCAGGGTCCTGATCACGTCTGCCATCCGATGGCCGGAGGGCAGCCTCGTCAGGGTCGTCGTCGCCTCGAGCTTCTCGGAGCGCATCTCATTCCCCGGAAGGTTGATGACGCAGCCGAGGAACTCCAGGAGGTTCACACTCAGTATGTGCGGGACGTCATCGGCCAGAACCGTCGTCTCGATGATGCCCAGGACGCCGAACAGGCAGAGAGGGAAGAGCACCGCCGAGATCACCTTGGCCGGTCCTCCGACCCCGTGAGCGCCGACATGACGCCGGTGCTCTGGAGGAACCACCACGTACTGCAATCCCCGCTCTGCCAGTGCTCGCGACTCTCGGTTGAGCGCCTGGACTCCTACCAAGTCACTGCCCGCTCCCGGGTCCACGAGCGCCTGCGTGGCGAGGGAGACCAGGAACACGTCGTCCTTGGTGATCTCCTCCTGGAGGTCCCTCCACTGGGAGATCGTCTCTGGCGTGGCCCCCACGCCGACGGCGCCCGTGAAGGTGTAGGCCGATATCGACCTGCCCTTGACCTTGTTGTCTGGGTTGTCCGGACACTCGCGGTGCCAGTGGCCCTTCTTGTGACAGATCTTGCACTTGGAGATCTTCATCCTCTGCTCAATCGTGAGACGTGGTCGTCCTCCACGTCCACCTCCCTTGCCTGCAGCACGCCCGTCACGTGGAGGGCGACCCGCGCCGCGAGGCTTGGCTGGAGGTGGAGTGTCCCGGGACCCAGTTCCCAGGCGTCGCCCTCCGAAGTACTCGCGGTCCTTCTTGGCAGCCCGCTTGATGTCCTTATTTTCCTTCCAGGAGCGCTTGGCCATCATGGCGAGCGCCGGCTCCACTTGGTCCTCGAAGAGGTCCAGGTCGTCCAGCTCCTCAAGCACAGCAGCCATGGTGGCTTCGTCCCACTCCTGGTCGTAGTCCTCTTCGTCGGACTCGTCCTCCTCGTCCCCGGAGGCGCCACCGCCCTCGGACCGACCGGAGGGAGGGAAAGAGGAGGAGGGAAAAGCCTGCCTAGCCTCGACTTCGCTGGGATCCTGGTCCTCAGCGCCAGTCGCTAGCATGGCTCCGAAACCCTGCCTACCTGGAAGTAGCCGCTCACTGCCGGTTGCGTCCATCTGGCGGAGGGCCCAGGAGACGCTGCTGTAGTCCATCCGCCCCTGCGTCAGAGTCCGGAGGTTCTGCTGGCCCTGGGGTGTCAGGCCAGCCCCCTCCTCCAGGAGGAGACCCTTGAGCTTGGGAGACAGCCACATCTCGTGCGACTCAGCCTCCGTCAGCTGCGCCTCTCGACGGCTCACGAACTGTATCAGCGTCTCGTCCTTCTGCCGCTGAGCCTCGAAGAGTGCTTTCCTTCCAGCTCGGCGAAGGTCATCGCCCTCGCGCTCGCCGGTCATCATGTCCATGCGACCGAGGATGACGTCTAACCAGCCTGGACCAGTCAGCGTGCTCTCCGGCACGTCGTCAAACTTCGCCTGCAGATTGTAGTCGAAGAGCTTGAGCAGCTTCTCCGCCCGGCGCCAGGCGGGCACGTCGGTGTTGGTGTCCCACCGCTTGAGCGCACGCCGCCACTGCCGATAGTGATTCCAACCAGGCCAGGCGGGTGGGTCCGAGTAGTCGCCCTTGCCGCTGAAGCCGCCCCAGGAGTCCTGGCTCCATCGGGCGGTCCTCCAGTCGGCGTCCCGCCAGCCGCTGTCCTGGACGTCCTTGGACTTCCAGCCGTCGTCGTCCCTGGACCGCCAGCCGTCGCTCTCCGGCTTCCAGCGGTCCCAGGCCGACTCGTCCCTGTTGATGCAGTCCTTGGACTGCCCCGCGTCAGCACCGTCTTGTGGACCGTCTCGTCTTGCTGCCGCCGATGCGCCTAAGGCGCTGCTGGCTGCCTGCTGCCAGGGGTCCTCTACGTCGTGCTTCTTCTCTCCCGGGCCTGAGGCGGCAGCTGCCGAGGCCGTTGCACTGATAGTCTCCCTGACTACTCCGGCGATTAGCTCTCGCAGCTGTGCCGCCGATAGTCCTCCTGCAGCACCGTTCCCACCTGGAGCCTGTTGGCTCCCGTCGGTCAGCACCGCCCCAGAGAACTCTCTCGGCCCGTCACCTGCCTCTTCTTCACCTGCCATGCCGTGGATGCCACGCCAGTCGGATCTCAGAGCGAGGTCCGCGCCGCGGGCGCTCGAGGCCTAGAGGCTGGAGCCGCCCCGACTCCGCTCTCCAGGTCCCATGGGCCGCACGGCGGGGTTCCCCGCTCCGCTACCAACTGTGGCAGCAGCAAGATCCCGATATGCTTTTTGGCTTGAGCCAAAAGTGAATACGGAACGCCTCTCCACATGCTAAACCTATACACTGAAAACTGGAGCACTTCCACATGATGGATGTACCGACAACAAAAAACGGGGCGGAAGCATGCGAACACCGCCACTGGGGCCTTCGGTGGAGCTCCCTATGGGGCCACGAAACGTGGAAACGTGCGAGGGTGTGCCGAAATGGGTGCGGTGGGCGCATGCGAACGCAGCTAGTGGGGCCTTCGATGGAGCTTCCAATGGGGCCACGAAACGTGTGAGGGGTGTGCCGAAATAGGCGGGGTGGGCACATGCGAACACCGCCAGGAGTTCCTCATGAGGCCACGAAACGAGTGAGGGGTGCGCCGAAGCAGGTGCTGCGGGCGCATGCGAACGCAGGCTCTGGGGCCTTCGGTGGAGCTCCCTATGGGGCCACGAAGCGTGTGAGGGGTGTGCCGCAGTGGTTGCCTGGCGCGGAGGGCAGAGGCAGGGATGGGAGGATGGAGGCGCAAGAGGAGAAGGGAGGAGGGAGGGAATCGCAGAGCGCTGACTCTTCCAAACGGGGACCCAACACCACAGGATGGTTGGGAACAAAAACGCTCAAATCAAACGTCGCCCAGTCGGCCTTCGGGCAAGAAATCATCACTCGGTCTTCAGACAGCCGTTCAGGACAACTCAGGGCTCCCTGGAACAACGTTCGGAATAACAACAACTCGCCACGTCGGAGTGTCGTCGAAGCCGCCGCCCGGCTGGCTTCCGCGGACCTCTGGGTTTTTCCCTAGAACTAAATATTCATCACTGGTCGTTTGTTTGAAGGTCCCAGGGGCTCAGGGTCTGGGAAGGTCCCCTGGAGGCCGAAGAAGTGCAAGAAATCGGACAACCACCCACATTATGCCAGGACTCCCTTCATCCGCGACTTCTGGCCACAATCCGCTCCAAACGAGTCCCCAGACCTCCCAGGGCTCTATAACAAAGTGTCTGAGCTGCGCCTAGCCGTTGCGACGAGAATCTCCGGAACCTCCCAGAAACATCCGAAACGGCAGCCTTGCACGCCTCGCTGTCGCCACCATGGCAGCGGCGATGTCGTCCCCAGAAACTCGACGTCGCGTTTTAGACCTCCGGAGGTCTCGACCCCATCCGTGGAACGAGGTGTCCATCCCGAGCCGTTCTGTGGACGGTCCCGAGGGCACGATTGGCGCCTCCAGGTCAGAATTTGCCAACAAGCATGTCGCAATCTGTTTCCGTGAGGGGGTTTGCTTTAGGTCGGGCATGTCCCCCTACAGGCGGATCCGGGGCGAAAAATAGAAAATGTTTAAAAACACTACACCACAATAGTAAACAAACAAACACATAAAATCGTCCCGCTACGATTTCGGACTCTTTTTTGAATTTTCCTCCTGAAGAGGGAGAGGCCCGACACAAGGTTTGCTTGCCTCAAGGAGATGGGGCTTGAGGGAGACGGGTCCAAGACTCCAGGGCCTTCCCGCAGCACCACTTGCCGCCCTAAGTTGCTCCCAGAACCGGTTCGTTGCATCGGTTCTCCAGCAGCCGCTCGGGACGATCCAGGAACGCCGGCGGAAAGAATCCCGAGGCGGGAAGAGGCCCCATGAGCCTGCGAGAACGTCCCCAAGAAACCTTACCCCGACCCGCTTCCCTCTGGACCCGCCTGCTTCATTGCGAGGTCTCGGCCGCCGCCGCCGCTTGAGCAGGGACCAGCCGTCCTGGTGCTCCTATCATATCGCCACGGTGTTCTGGACGAGCAAAAATACAAATTACCAAGACGATGTGTACTCCCCAGAATATTTCAGCAGCACTGCCCAACCAGCCAGCCAGATTCCATTCACTTTCATACGAACCACAGAGGCTGCGTAGAACATTCTTTAGTTCGTGTAGAGCCCATGTTTCCTATTATTCGCGATAGCTCCCGTTACTGGCCCCGACCCACTTCTCCCGCAGGTCACGAAACGATTCACGCCAGCTAGCACCGTCTGGGAATTAGCCATTCTCAAACATTTCCAGACGGCGCCGGCGGCTATCGTGACGTGACAGGCACCCTCCCCCCCTTCCCGCCGGTCACGCCCGTTGTCGCCAGGGGATACAAAAGTAGTCTCCGACCGGCAGGTAGAGCTTCTTGGTTCACAGCAAGGTCTTTTGCAGCACCCATCACACGCTTCCCTGAGATCGGACGTAGCGAAAAGCTGCAACATCGTGAAAACACGCCCTTAGGCCTTGACCCCATCTTCCTGCGTCATGTTTCGAGCTGGATCGCTCCGTGAGGACCAGGGCCCTAAAAGAGTGAAAACGCCTAGCTCGAATGAATTGGGACGTCAGGATCTCAGGGTTCGTGGCCCCCTGACCCCCGACGTCATGTTTTTTTCATTACGTCGACCCCTGGAGGTCTCGACCCATTCCCCTGGACCAATTTTTCATCCTGAATAGTTTTTTGGCGGTAGCGAGGGCCGGTAAGGGCCCCCCTAGGCCAAAAATAGCAGAAAACCGCCCGGCATGATTTTTTCATGGCTCGAGGGGTCTGGGAAGGGAACTCCGAAGGCCCTCGTGGCTGTGTCCGCATGGTGACCCCGGCCGCCGCCCTACCAGCCAGGGCGGCCCACCAGCCGCGACAGGTCCTCCGGGAGCCACGCGAGACCGCCCGTCGCCGCCGCGCCGCCGCGCAGCAGGCGTCCGGCCCCGCTGGCGAGCCGCCGCAGCGCGGACCTCTGGGGGTGCGCGGGCGGCGCCCGCGCCGCCGCCGCCCTCTGACGACGTCGACGCCGCCACCGCCTACGCTTATGTCGGGCGCGTCCCCCTACAGGCGGATTCTGGACGAACAAATGTCGCTTGTTTATGTTAAATCATACTCCAAGCATGCTCAACATTAGGCAAACAAAATCCCAAAACTATTTTAAGACTACTTTTGGATATTGCCACTGTAAAGGGACGTGCCCGACTTCAGCCCACGCCCACACCATCGCCGCCTTTTGGCGGCGCCGCGCTCAACGCCGCCGCCGCCTTTGGACAGGGCCGGCGCCACCGCCGCCCTTGACGCCGCGGCCTTTGACGACATCGCCGTCATCGCCGACGCCGTGGCGGCCGCCGCCTGTGGCGACGCAGTCGCCATCAGCGGCGACGCCGTGGCCTTCGTCTTGAGTGCGCTGTCCTGGGCCTCTAGTGGGCGGGTGAGTGGAAACGGGGCATGAGGGAGGGAGGGGAGGGGAGGGGAGGGGAGAACGAGAAGAAGCGGAGACGAGGAGCAGGAGGAGCCAATTACCTTTTCACTGAGACTTTCCGAGAGCGCGCACGCAGACAATCGCCGCCGCCGCCGCCGCAGTCGTGGTCGCCGCCGCCGCCGAGCACAAGGGTTCGAGCCTGTCGGACGCCGCTTGTCGCCCTTGTTTTGGGCTCTAGGCCAGGCCTGCGGGGACCTGCGGGGACGCCCTCCGGGACAAGTTCACGAGTCAACCAATTTTGCAGCGTCATCGTCATCGTCGCAGTCACCGCCGCCACCGTCGCCGCTGTCGTCGTGCTCCTCCTCAACGTCCTCAACCTCCTCCTTCTCCTTCTCCTCCTCCTCCTCCTCCTCCTCCCACTCTTCCTTCTCCTCCTCCTCCCCGTCACTTTCCATTCCCAGACATCTGACAATATGGTTTTTCACTGCGCGACACCAGAGTTCCCGACCCCTCCCGCAGGGCCCAGCTTTGTGCCACGACCCAACGTTTAAATGTCTTGGGGCCCGGGAGCATGCCCCAGAGGCCGAAATCGAGGGAGAGCGCCCAGATCGTCGGAGGCCTGGGTTCCCTCCTCCCTGCCCCATGCGTCTCCTTGTACTGCCTTGCTCCTACCCTCCTACCCCTCCTCTCGCTCCTGCTCTCTTCTCACCCTCCTCCCCCGCCTCCTCCGCACCCTCCTCCTCCTCCTCCTCCTCTTCCTCCTCCTCCTCCTCCGCACCCTCCTCCTCCTCCTCCTCCTCCTTCTCCTGCTTCGCATCCTCCTCCTCCTCCTCCTTCTCCTGCTCCCCATCCTCCTCCTCCTCCTCCTCCTCCTCCTTCTCCTCATCCTCCTCTTCCTCCTCGTATTCCTCCTCCTCCCTCTTCCAGCCGTTCTGCGCTCAGACGGTTGAGCTTTGCAGGTGTGCAGCTTCAGGAAGGCTCGCACCTGCGGGCCAAAGTGTCTCGGTGGAGAGACCGCATCCTGCCCTTCTCAACGTCCCATTCATCAGTGGCGCAATGGTTCATGGTCTGGCGCCCCTCCGTGGTCGTCGAAATCTTCGAATGAATATGGTTTAGGTGATGGTGGCAGCCTGTTTCCAGCTCTCACGCCTGGGCCAGTGTGGGTTTTCGACTCCCCTAGTTCGGTGGCAGTGAGACACGGAGATCCGCATGGCCGGAGTGCACATGCAAGAGGAACCACCCCAACCTAGCCTACTGCAAGCACTGGAGGTCGACTTCGACATCGTGGCCTGGTACTCGTGGAGTCTGGGGCCAACAATATTTTTCCAACAGCCTCAGGCAAGTTCTCTCCTTCGAGTCGCCCAGCCACCCTCCTTCAGGGATGCACACAGCAGCCGAATTGCTCTGTGGCAACAGATTGCTCAGTGGAGCAGTTTGCTCTGTTGGTCAAGGCGCTACGTAAGGGATGTTGGTTACCAGTCGTGGGCAACTTGGTATCACAAAGTTCTGAACGCTAAGGTGATACCGCTCACACCCATTTCTGTCGAACAGCGAGTAAAAACTTGCCATGCCCTCAGAGGTGCCGAACAGAGGCTCACTACGCGTATAACGGTGTACAGTAACCTCGATACCAGTCTTGCAAGAAGAAAGGAGCTGTCCACGCCGATGAGGAAAACTTGGCATGTGAATGGGAACATTAGAGAGTCATTGCGGAGCTGCATCCTGAGGTACCCTCTAGAATTACCATCGAGTCGTCGCAGATGGCCGAGCTCGGCATCCAGGACATCCTCTCAGGAAAAGATGAGGACCTCATCACAGCAGGCGGCATGTTCCAGATCAATGATGTTGGGTTTGCCTTGTCTGAGGTAGAAGAGAGGCAGGCAGATGACTTGGCGGTCCAGCTCAACGCGAAAATCAAGGCTGCCACACAGAAAGTGTTCGCAAACGCAGCCTCTACAGCGGAGAAGACCAAACAGGATGATGCGTCTCTCATCGCACGCTTGGCAGCCAAGCGCAGTTGGGGGGGAGATGGTGAGGCGGGAGCCGTCGGTGGTGCGGGAGGGAGCTGCGTCGCTTGAGGGGGCGGGGGCGGGGGCGGCAGCGTCTGCCTCTGCAGAGCCGGCCGGGGAGGACGCGGCTCGGAGCCTCTCGTCCCGCCGGCCCCCTGCCGCCCAGGAGCCGCCTCGGACTCTGGTGCGCACGTCCGGCAGAGACGGGTGCGCAAACGGGGCAGCCATGCCACACGAGGCCTACAGCCCGGGGGGGGGCTCGTGCCCTCTCTCGTTGCAGTCCGGGTCTGGTCAGGGAGCGAAGATGGGCCCCGATGGGCCCTGAGAAGGGTCACCCCCTTTTGCAGTCGCTCTGCCTGGTCTCCCTGGTCGTGGGCAGCCGGGTCCTGCCACGCTTTCTTCGTGCACCAGGAAGGCGGTCAGCACGAGAGCCTCGCAGAGGTTGTCGCTCGAGGGTCCGCGGGATCTTCAGTATGTGAATCCTGGACTACCTGTCTCGATCCACTCCTGCGTACATTGGTTCCCCTCCGCTGCGTTTTGAAGCCTGTCGCGTCTCGGGATGGAAATATTCGGGTGAGTCTGGGTTGTGCAGGACTGCGTTCCACGTGATGCCTCTTCAGGAGCATCACCCCAATAGTGAGGAGGGCATCATCCTAGCTTCGGCGTGGGGCGTGAGAGCCGTGTGGGAGGGCCCCTGGGAGCCTGCAGTCACTGCCGAACGAGGGGGGTCGTCAGGAGGTGCTGCCATATTATGTAAGTCTTGGATGGGTTTGTACAGGTTGCCTGAAGTCTCTAACTGTACTCATTGTGTAGTGTGAGTTGCCGTACGGTTGTTTGGTGGAGTTGAAGCAGTAGGAAGATCAACGAACCTGACTGGAGCCTCCTCCATGATCTCGGTTCGGTTGTTTCGTCTTGTGGGTCCACCTTGCTCATCGGCGGTGGTTTCAACTAATAAATTACCTTGCGTTGCGAGTCGGGCTTCGGCCAGCAGGCCGATGTTGTTGCCCGTCGTGGCGGGTGAGTGTATCTTGAAGGGGGGGAGCTCGACGATTGATTTGTCCGCACTCGTGGGCTTACCTCAGCACTTCGTAGAATCGAGATGGTGATCGAGTTCGATCTGAGCCCATACTCCCCCGTCAGGCTCACGCTCTTCCCGCAGCTCGCCCGATTGCAATCGCTGTGTTTCAAGAAGCGGACCTCCTGGCAACTCTGGTCTGCGAGCCAAACTATAGGAGGGTCTTGACTTCTCCAGATCGGGTGACGGGAAAACGACTCAACGAATCTTGAAATATTGCTACCGTGACTGGGCCAACCAGACCGAGATCGAACTCACCAGGAAGACGGGGGTTGAGCTGCTTCGGATGGGGTCAGGCTTGTCTGGCGCTCGGCGGTTGATCAATACACTCGGAACCCAAGGAGCCCTGATTTCTTTGCGATTCGTTGGTTGTGGCAGCGCTTCCACGGTTTTTCACTGGTCTGCTTGGAACTGACCAACCTGGCATCTCTAATATAAAGCCTCCGCTGTTCTCACCGCGGCCCCCGCTGGTGTCAGCGACGCCCTGAAGAGTTGCACGGCGCTGTGCGACCTTTCTTTGGCTTGTGCCGCAGGAGTGCAGCATGTTTCGATGGACTCAGCTTTGAAGTGTGCCGAAAATGTGAAGCAGCAGGCTCTGAGGCTCTAGCTTGACATGTCTATCAAATTAGAATGCGGGGTCTGCCGCTTGGAAGCATTACGTGTTTGGAAGGTTTGGGCAAAAAGCCCGTCGGGCGAACCTCGTTCCCGGAACCCAAAACCATCCGTCCCACGACTACGTTACGGATAAGAAGGCTGGCTTGTCAGTGACCCCCGCAGATTTTTGCTTCTGGGGGAGGCCAGGTGTAGGGCTTTTTGGAAGGCGGGGGTTGAGCCGCCAGTCCCTGGTGAGATCCTCGTTCGCTGCCCTGGGCTACCAGTCACTTCGATGGACAACATCAGAAGTGCATGGGCTACGGGGGCTATGTGGACTCGACTGTATGTGATTTCCAAGGGTTGCGACGTCCCAGAGAGTTGTCAGCTGCGGAGAGGCCAGGGACATTCTCTATCACAGATTATGGGTTTGTAGATGTCGGGGCCAGAAGGGCAGGGAGGTCGTTCGGGATGCGATCGCGGACGGGCTTCAACAGCTTGTTTCCGAGGGTGGTGAGGAGCGTTTGGGTCTCGCCACTAGAAGCTGCCTGGTTCACACAGGGGACAAGCACCCACCCCCTCTCAAGGTCGGCTCTTGGGATGCGCATTGGGCCTGGGAGCTATCACCAAAAACTTCTATGCAAGGCCAAATCTGCATCGATGGTTCGCGCACCTGCCACGTCATCAAAGAACTCAACCGTGCTTCATGGTGTGCTGCCGTGCTTCTGCCTTTTCGGAGTAAGGAGAGAACAGGTGCACCATGGAACGTCCAGCCTGAGCGCCTTACCTCAGACCCCGCAGGCGGGAGAGTTCTCAAGGCCTTGGGGTGTCATCATGTGTTCCTGAGTCTAGCACTCTGTGGAACAGCTGTGTAAATTCTGAGGCCCGGCACGAGCTGTCAAGAGGT